CCTAGGTACATAGTCGGAAGTACCTAACTCACCTAAGGAAGTAGCAATTTGCTGTGTTGGCGCCTATGAGTGTTGGAATATCTTCGGAGTATCATCGGAATGTAGGCCGATATATGGGTCCATACTGCACGGACCATTCCATTTAGATGTCATACCTAATGTACTTCGTACCTAACCTAATTCCGTACATCGAAGCTACATACATGTATCAATGTACCTTCCTTATTATCCGTGATCTTAGCTTGCGTCAGTTCAACATCTTCTTATCAAATCCATAGACAGGTTATTCCCGGCTTGTTGTCCTCCCAAATTTCAGTCTCTCGTTTAAGTTAACCGATATGACGAATGTTTTTAAAACAAATCGACCTTACCACTGCCCTCAGGCCTTCCTATCTTCCCGACGAAGTGCTCCTCTTTGTCCAGGACAACGTGGGGCTCTATGAGGGGTGAGTGACGAGTCTGCTAGTATCTAGTATCTAATATCTAATATCGATTGCGACGCCAATGTCTATGGTTATTTGTCTATGGTTATTCAGTAACTAATCACCACTTCCCTTTTTCATCTTTATAGGAAATACAAATTACCGAACCAACAGAATGGTCAAGTCTATCTGACCTCGCATCGAATATGCTACGTGGACAAACAAGAGCCCAGAAAGTACTCTGTTGCTTTGGACTTAAAAGATGTAGAGAGATATGAGTTCTATGTAGGAGTTAGGCTATACCTTCACGAAAGGGAATCTTTTTTGCTAAGAGCTTTCTTTATAGGCGGGATTTCTAAAATCTTCCCCGAAAGTAACCCTCTTCCCTAAGCCAGCCAAACGAGGTTCTCTCCAGTCCAGAGCAGCCGTAGCCACATCGACCGTCTCCCGTAGTAGTGGCCCATCACCTCTACCAACATCCGAGTCCGCATTTCGGTCCCCCTCTACCAGTACGCCACAGGCCAGTTCAGTAACATGGGTTTGTACGATATGTAGCTTTCCCAATCCGGTTCCGTCTAATTTCGACCCGACAACCGCGAATGCTCATACCCCGTTACCGTCGTGCTTAGCCTGTGGTATCAAACCAGCATTAACACATATGCTTAAAGCTGCTATATCGAGTGTTACCAGTAGACAAGTGACTTCTTCCGTTTCCACCCCACAGCCGCCATTTACACTACCTTCTCGATCGCAAAGTCTGGGTCTAGCCAACGATCAATCTCGGGGTCTAGAAGCAAATCTTTCGTCACGGGACACAACAGCTAGTTCGACAAAATCGGATGGCTTTGAATGTCCCCGCTGCACCTTTTTGAACCACCCCTCTCTCTTGACTTGTGAGATATGTGGCGCGCCCCTCATTTCCCACGATGTTCCTATGGCAGTAGCGCACAGCAGCCAACCTAGGACAGACTCGCCGGGGCCTACGCTTAATTTATCCAGTGCTACCGGCTTAGAGAACCCGGAGAGTGTCAAGCTGTCTTTCCGAAATGGGGGAGAGAAGATTTTCTACGAGCGGCTTAAGAGTTCTATGACACAGCGTAAATGGCTCTTACAAGAAGCGCCCCCTATTCCGAACGGGGGTTCTACCGACACCCGCGCGGACTCGTCGTCGACATCAAGACCCGGCGCTAGCCGAAACAAAACCGCCGGTATCGCCGGGCTGGAGAAGATGGGACTAGATAGGCGGAAGAACAATGAGCTGGTCATCGGGAGCGCATTTGAGGATCTTGAAGCCTTGATGGCTTCTGCCAAGGAAATCGTAGCGCTTGCGGAATCATTTGCCCGGCAGGTCAACGGTGGCGCTGAAAATGCGACATCCGAAGCAAACGCATTACTTGCCGAGTCGGCTAGCCAGCTAGGCCTCGTGACCACCAAAGACATCGTGGGTGGCGGAAGTAGCTCAGGATCGGAGTCGCTTTACTTGTCTGAATTATCTCGGAACCTTGCCGAGTTCTTGGCGGACGACGCTAGAGGAGTACTTAGGAAAGCCGGCGGCATTATTAGCCTGGTCGACTTATGGGCCATGTTCAATCGCGCTCGCGGAGGTGTCGAACTTGTTAGTCCTAACGATTTTGAAAAGGCGGCCCGTTTGTGGGGTAAACTGAGACTCCCAGTCCGGCTACGTACGTTCAAGAGCGGCGTGATGGTAGTCCAGAGCCGCGACCGTACAGACGACACCACGATTAAGGCGCTGCTAGCGTGGCTCCGGGACTTGCATGACATACCACCGGATAGAGATGTCGCTTGGGATTGGCAGGAGTTCGGTCGTGGCGTTACTGCGCAGGACGCTGCCGAGCGATTCGGATGGAGTATTGGTGTCGCCGAAGAGGAGCTCGAGATGGCCGAGGAGAGGGGCGTTCTCTGCCGCGAGGAAGGCATCGAGGGGCTTAAGTTCTGGGAGAACTACATCGATACGGGAGAATACCGCAACAAGCCACGAAAGACTCAAGAGGCAGAAGAGCAAATCATGAAGGCCCTTAGTGCGGCTGGTCTTCTATAAAGTCTAGGATAACTAGATAGAATTTACAAGTAAAACATGTCTTGCGTGAAATTCTATTATATTCCACGTTGATAAGGTTCCATCATTACCGCCATCGAATCCTTCTAATACATCAAAACATAATATCGCCATTAACCGCCGATCCCAAAAACCCGCCTTGAGGGGTACTTGTTCGAGCCCGCCGTCTAGTATAATTCGGTTTTTTATGTTTCCGCCGTAAAACCTATAATCCGTAACACCATACCATAACATACTGCTCGCAACAAAGTACAGCCGCTAAGTAGCTAGCGACCTACTGGTTTCAAGCAAGCTTCTCCATGAGATTTCTTCGTACCTTTGTGTTTACCGTCCCTCCTAGCCCAAACGCAGGGACGATCCTGCATATCCTCGCCGCAGCACTTATCGCCCAGTTCTTCCGGACCTGCAGCCATCGGTCGCGCCAGGACACGAGACCCCCTGTCCCTGGCCGGTTGTACATGTCGAGGCCGAGTAGATGCACGGGCGTGGAGAATAGCTGGACGGCGGCGGGAGCGGCGAATTGGGCGATGGTGGTTCCGCTGATTTTCTTCTGTAGTTCGGTGCCCATGCGCTCGTTTAGTATAGGCCCGAGAAGCGGCGGCACGTTGAAGGAGGCGAAGATTGTGAGACAGTCGCGCAGCGTGAACAGCACGTAGCTCGGCATAGGCACGGGGCGCGGCGGCCCACCAGGTCCGAACATCTTAACGAAAACCTGGTCCTTGTAAACGCAGAGCCCGACGTTGGCAGCGCTCGACGCGGCGAACTTGGCCGTCCCGGTCGTGACGTGCGTGGCGGGCTTGTTCAGCGCCGTCGAAGTTACGGTATCTAGCGTGTTCGCGGTCCAGTACGTGCCTCCGTATAGCATGAATATCAAAGCGACGGGCTTCGAGAAGAGCATGGTATGCGGGCGGAGGAAGAGCATGCGGAAAGAGGCGCGGAGGCTGTTGGCGAGGGTGTTCCGGCCGGATGCGTTTTCCATTATGGATCTAGAGCGAGGAACGTGGTCAGCGCATATGGGAGCCGGACGGGAAACTAGCAACGTTCCTGTCAATAATGGATATGAGAGGCGCGACCATCGACGCAGCGCACGCGGCGCTCGTCAGGTCAGCGCCTAGTCTTAAGGCTAGATTCTTCGTGTTCCATCGCTGTTGTAGCCCGGACGAGGGCATGTCAACGGCGTCTTTGCGCGGAAGCGGGATTGGCGATGCGGGATTGACCAGCGGCTTTTCAGCGCCGACGTCGTTCTTCATTGCGGCTTTGGGGGGGTTGCTTTACTCTCTCTCTCTCTCTATATATATATATATACCTATACTCGGCCACTGATATGCTTTGCGTACTCCCTCGCAACTCGAAATCAAATCACGAAGATGAGGGACTTCGGGGCGAGGGGCAAGGAGCGGGAGGAATTTACGTTGCTTGATACATCAGGTCTAATTAAATGCGAGAGAGAGAGAGAGTCAGTCTAAATAAGAGATGAGGGAATTCTAGTTCTGCAGGTTACACCAAGTCTCGAGCGCTCTTTCTTTTCTATATAATGAAAGTAATATGTAAAAAAGAGAAGTGATAGGTGCCCTCGGTGTACGGAGCTCAGCTTCTTAGTTTACTTATCTATCCACTGGCAATCGTCATTTTTATAAGCTTGTACCGAGCTCGGAGGTTATCAGGGGATGCTGATTGGATTAAACCCTGGTTTAAGCTTTCTTTTTCCGGGGAGATCTTGACCACAGTGAGAGGCATTTTGGTACGGTACTGTAAATGCGTAGTAGGTATAGGAGGTACATACCTCCTATCTTGACCCGCAAGTACTCCCCAGCTAATTTTCTACTAGATAGTACAAAACCTAACATGACAATAGAAGGTAGCTTCTATTTTCAACAGATGCAAGCATAACTCGAAGAGATTGGGCTGTGAGTAATTATTATTTTTGGACTTATATAATAATTGCTGTGACATTATCAGACCCTTTGTGTGATTGTTACTTAAGGCTAATCACTTTTGTGATGCTATTCCGATCTGTATTTGATTACTATATTTGATCTAGAAAACTCGAACACGTAACTTACCTTGTTTAACTATGCCATATAAAACATCATGGTTTGATTCTTGAGACACGTGTAGCGTATGTTGCCAGTATTGTTATAAGTAAGGGATTTACAAGTAAAGGGGTCGGGTTCTAATTAAGCCATTAGGTATTCATCTGTTTATCCTCCCATCTGTAGTTCGACGTTTGATGGATGTGATTCATATACCAAGTCATTTTTGGTCAAGGAACCAGTTGGGAAGAGCTTGATTTGCTTGTCCAATCCTGGGTATAACGTAAACTACGTGACTGTATCTATAATACATTCAGGGTCGAAACGATGTGTTTCAATTCTCTTAATATATATATCTGTATATAAACGAAACGGGATTTTCCATTTTCCTCTTTTCTTTCTATACATCCTACCATCGATCCCGTACCAATACCGGCACTTGATATTCACCTATCAATGGCGGACAATATGGATCCCCAACCTACCAGCAAGCTACTTACACCCGAGATACTGGTTGAGGAACCTATTCGCGGGGGAGCTATACCTAACCACGATGGAACGCACGCTCTCTATTACGAGCGCAGAGCCAAAATTGGCGATCAAGTATCCGGATGCTGGAAAACTATGGACATCGCAACCGGAGAATCACAAACTCTCATCGCGGATAAGCTTGTATATGAAGCAACTTGGTTGGCAGACGAGCCCGGTACGGTAATAACCCTGAGCAAAGTCGAAGGTGCTCAGAATCAGACCCAGGTCGCAACCTACGATCTCAAAAGGCCGGAAGTGAAAAGGCAAACCGCCCGTTTCTTCGCGGGACTATGCTCCCTCAGAGTGGCGCGTCTCAAAAACGGCGATATCGCGTTCGCGGTGGGCGGTCCCGTAGGGGCAAATAATGAGCTGCGTAAGGAGGTAAATTATACCCAGCGATCACATAGCGGGTGGGTATACGACATTGACGAAGTGCGAGAGGTACGAGACCATTCCCTTATCAATGACCCCTATGACATCCTCGCCGTTATGGTTGGATTGGCGAAGAGTAACTAACGATACATAATTATTATCAGATGGACGACTACGTAGATCATAGAAAGCATTCAATCTTCTACTCGGTTTTAAAGAAGTCTGAGGAGGGATGGAAGTTGGCTGGATCTCTGCATAACGCTCTTGTCAACACAGACCTCGAGCCAAAAACCGCATACGATCTATCTCACGGGGGAATCGTATTCATAGCCGAGGATCTTGGTGTGAAACATCTGCCATCACGGGTCTGGCACACCTACCTCCTTCGACTGGATTCTTTTAATAGGGCTAGCACTCACGGGCCTAGGAAAATAGAAATGCCGGACGAAAGCCCGGATGAGAGTCGTGAGTATAGCAAATACCCCTATTTCAGCTCCGATGGATCTCAGGTCTTGTTCTTGAGAGGGGGTAACATCCATCTCTACCGGCTCGGCGAAAGCAAAACCGTTAAGGTGCTCGATACGTTAGCAGATGGGAAATGGTCATTAACCCCAAAGGCGGCTGATTTCGCTCCTAGTGGCAAAGCCCTATATGTCAGCGCCGAAGACAGCGGGAGACAAAATCTTTATAAGATCGACCTACAGCCAAATGCAAAACCCAAGCTGCTTTGCCGCGGCGGTAATGTGCATGCATTCTACCCTCTCGGCACAGACGACGAACAGATCCTCGTAACCAGCTCAAGTCTAGTAGACAGTTCGCTCTACAGTATCGTCTATACTGATGAAAGCAGCGAGCCTAGAGTGCTTTCATCGTGTACGGACCACGGGGCTCGACTTGGTATTTCCTCGAGTCAAGTTTCAGAGGTACACTTCAAAGGTGCTGGCGATTATCAAGTCCACGCATGGATGGTAAAGCCTAGCTACTTTGACGAAAGCCGAAAATACCCCTTGGCTCTTCTTGTACACGGAGGACCGGAGAGTTCCTGGACGGACGCCTGGGGCCTTAGCGTATGTCACCCTTTCATATTATGTATTGTTAATATTATTATAAGCCACCCGACTTACATGCGTTTACAGTCCAATCTCGCGCTTTTTGCTGAACAAGGCTATATCGTTGTAGCTCCGAATATTACTGGCAGCACAGGCTTTGGTCTGGAATTCAAAAAAGGTATGTCACTAACCTAAGGACGTCTTGCCTACGATATCAAAAGCTCACGTAGAAGATAGCAATACGAGATAACTGGGGTGGTCGTCCATACGACGATCTAGTCAAATGCATGGATTACCTCGAGCATAACCCCAATATCGATATTGATAAAGCCGTCATGATAGGCGCTAGCTATGGAGGATACATGTGCAACTGGGCCCAGGGCCACCCGCTTGGCCGACGTGTGAGTAATTTCCTGCAGTTCTAATTAGATGTGTCATACCAGCTACTAATATGCCTTTTCTGATCAGTTCAAGGCCATGGTCTCCTGGGGCAGCATCTTCCATCTGCCAACCTACTTTATGGAACGGGATAGGTTCTTAAGCTTCGACAAGACACATCGCTTCAGCGGTTCGGAAATCCTATGGAAGAACCCCGAAGGTTTAGAGCGGTTTAACCCAGCACGTCCAGATCTCCTCCCTAATTGGAAGACCCCCATGCTTGTCGTCCACGGGAACGATGATTTTCGGTGCCCAGTTACCGGGGGCTTAGCTGCATTCCGTACGCTACAGCTACTGGGAACACCGTCTAGACTCCTTATATTCCTTAATGAAGGCCATGGTGGATATAAGCCCCAGAACAACCTCAAATACCTTCGGGAGGCTTTTGCCTGGATTAATAAATACACCGGTCTCGGGGAGGAACTGTTACGAGACGAACATGAGTTAACACCCTCCCTTAGGGATTGTTATCTCGGTCCAGGTTGGGGACTGCGCGATCATTGGACAAGCGACTGAACAGTTAGCCTACCTATCTCAATACCCTTTTACGCATCTGCAAGTGTATGTAGTACGTCTACTTTAGCATAGGAATGGAACTTGGACCTCAGATTCCACCTGGACTATCAAAGGTAATAATACCCTCTTGGAAGATGAAACCGCGAGTATAGATACAACTCACTAACTTATAAAAGAAGATATAACTACAATACGGTCCAAACTAGAAAAGGGCTCGAAGAGACTAACCACAGGTCTGGATAAGCGGTGATCCACGGCTTCTATGCTGAACTCTGATCGTAATGCGCCAGTATACATAGTAAGGAGCGTCTCCCTGTCCAACGGCAAAAACGACACCTAGTAAAAATATTAATCAGAGGAATCGTGTACATCACTACCTTAGGCGCTCCTAGTGGACATTAAGCCTTCCTGTAAAGGTCATACCAGAGAACTCTCCAGCATGTATGTACATAACTAAAATGCACCTGCCTTATGTAATTCTTGATACAATCAACCGATACTAATTGGGCCAATTCCAGCAAACCTTAAGCATTATAAGATGCGCTAACCCAAAAATACTCGAATTATTTTAATACCTACCTACATCCTACCAGAATCACACTTGTAGCCCGAGGGGTTGACCGATTTAAACCACCTTTGTCTTGTAAAGACATTGATAAATGAACCTAAGTACCGGCACAAGTTTAAAGTTAGCTACCTAGGTACCTTTTAAAAGGACTTTAGGACAAATGAGAAGTATATTTTAGTTAATTTAATCACGCCAGCTAAAAATATTCAACAGAATCTAACGTGTTATGGCTACTTAACTCTACCTGGAAGTTGCAAGAGCGGTATGGTCTATTTGGGCACCTAGATACCTACCTAACCTACAACCCACGGGATAGGGGGAATAGCTACCTGTGTACCTACCTCATATGTTAGCACTGGATCGGCAAATCAGCTTCCCAAGAGCTTGGGATCCCCACATCAGATCTCTGTAGATCCCTGTATCTCTCCCGAAATCCGGGGTTGAAGAGCAGGGGTATATCGGTACATACCTAATCCAAGATAGAAGGAGCGAATTTGTATTGGGTTGGGTTAGGTTACTCTTAAGGTGTGAATCAATGTTATGTTGTTTATTCGGCGAAGGAACCAGGATCAATAATTAATATTTTCTTTTAAATATTTTAATCACAGATTCTCATTGGTGTAATGTTACAAGAGACCCGTACCTGCATTAAATACATCCGCAGTACGGTACATGATTAGAGTTCCCGTAAGGCAACCGCCATTGGAGAATCGGTTAACCGGCTCCTTCCCCAGCGGCATCAGTATCAAATCACCCCGAATCACCACGCCGTCTTACAAAATATATATAAACATAGCTCCCCCGGAGGCCTCCGAATTAAATTCCGTCAACAATTCCTTCAATTTGTTGTCTTGCACCACCAATCACTTACATGCTTGACCCATTGGCTACCGTCACACCAACAAGACTAATCCCTTATTCATCTACTTGATCAAACTCTCTGCGCTACCACTTGCGACAACTATCCAACATGTTCTTCAGACGGATTCCTTCTTTCGACCCCATTCGCCCAACGGGCATCGGATCGGTTCCTTAGGACAGAACCGAATTGATCACCCCCTGGCAGACGTTCCGCGAGCACGTGAAATCCTGGTGTCGCAAGATATTCTCTCGAACCAAGGTACAGGAAGAGCAGAAGCGTAAGTTCATCCAAGACCTAGGCACCATGATTGATTACTGACTACGGCTACACAGCAGCCAGCCCCGACCCCCAGCCCGAAGCTCGCGAGCTTGGAGTCCTCAACATCGATGGACCGCCGCAGCTTGATATCTCAAGAGGCCCTACACTCAGTGACAGCTTGTCCGATACCGGCTTCATCCTGTACAGCGATCCCGCTAAGAAGAAGAAGAACAAGCAAGCATCCTCTGAGAAGTTCCGCTACTCATTCAGAGGCGAGGGTAGCCGTCCCGTGTCGATGATCACCGAGGAATCATCCAAATAAGGATTTGTCACAACTTGCCACTTCTGAGAAACGCTTTACGATGTTCTTATAGAATTCTGTTGTCTGTTGTCGTTGTTTGATATGTTGCATAAGTGGAAGTATCATTAGGCAGAATAGGAATAGGAATAGGAAGTATTCAACATTGATGGTTTTCCATCTCCTTGCGCGCGAACATCTTAGCGATGTCCAATAAGGAAACATTACACATGCCACCAGCCCACTCAACATTGAGAAGAGACCAGCGTTCTTTCTCCTCTGCGTCCAGCGTCTGGTAGCTTTCCCAAGCATGTCTGGCACTTCTGGACTTTGCTCTCTTCAGCTTAATAACCTCGCGGTCTATCAAGCTGCACGAGGAAATATGTTCCTTCTCCTCAAGAACCGGCTCAGGTACCGCTGCGCCCAATGACACTGGTATGGCAGTCGGCAGGCTTGGTCTAACCTTCCCGTAGAAGTTGGACGCACGATGGAAAGACGATCGCTGAAGAAGATATCTCCTGATTGCGATATAAGCTCGAAGCCAATTGTGAAAGCTGTGAAGGCTGTAACCCCAAATTACTGTTGCATTGGGAGCTTCATCTCTACCCGGCTGAAACCTCGTAGAGATGACAATGGGCGTTTCTTGTCTTTCCCTCAAGAGAACTCCCATGAACTGTGCTGACGTAAATGTCTCTAACCTGGATGGGTAACCCAACTAGCACTGCTAAGGTAAGATGCCAGTACATTGATGGTAGTTTCCCTTGCATCGTAGAAATAAACGTGATAAATAGTTTAGTCGGGGTAATTTGTTTTTGTTCTGTACCTTAGCTTTGTAATAAGCTATCCAGAATTCTGGGAGATGTCGAGGTTCTGTCCTTCCTAGCCAGATCAGCGCGGTGATTTCTAGGAGGTATTCAATCTGGGTAGGCAAGGTGCCGAATCCCCATTTGCCAGCACCGTATATCCTCAAGTTATGCCCTTTAAGTAGATTGTTGTTTCTGTTGATGTAGACTGTCTTGAAACCGTCTTCCCATGTTCTTTTAGTTTAATGTCTTGCAAATGTCTTGCGTCGTAAGGGTCGTCGAACTCTTAGGCACCCAATGTCCTGACAGGATCACCACTCGACATATAACATAGGGTGTCTGTCTAGAGAAATAGAAGCAATTGAAACTCCAGGTCTGATAGGTACTCGTGGCGGTGGAAAGCCTTGTAGGTAAAAGTCCAGAATGCCTTATCATTAAAGGCGGTGGACCAATCGAAAGAATCTTTAGCTCGGGCGAAGAATTCTTCTGGCTCCATAGAATGGCAAGATTCCACATTTTCCGCCGCAAATTCGTAAATATCCGCAAGGGCAAGGTTGATTCTTTTGATCATATTGTAGGCCGAGAGAAGTAGATTTGGAGGTGGGAAGTGTGGGAAATGTTGCTCCACGATCCCGCAGACTAATGCCTCTCAATGCATGAATGTAGTCCGGTCTTAGCCTTTGGATTATAGGCAGGCTCGCAGTATTGACCGTGCTGTTTGAACGATAGTAGTCGCCTGATGAGGTTTTTCGTCGGCGGCCGAGACGGCTTTAGACGATGCGGTGCTCTAGGTCGACTTGAGACAGCCTCTTGCACTCCTCGGCTGATTTAACAGGTAGGTTATTGTGCCCATGGGTGAAGATGTAAAGTAGTAGTTGTTTATTCTGATTAGTTATACTTCGGGCTTGGAAAAATTGTTAGTTGTTGTCACCGCCAAGATAGTAGGCACCTTGGGAGTGACTGTTGGGTTGTAAAATGCTGGTTGTCAACGACCGGATAGAGTCTCTTTGTAGCATGCTTGATAGAATGTTTGTTTGAATGGTTTGTGTTATATATATAACAACTTGCGCACACAAGCAAGTATGAGAAGCAAGTATGAGTTGCCATGAATTGTCCTGGTAGATGGTTCGCACTACTGGTTATTAGTGTAGACGATGCGTATTGATGTTGTCAAGACGATAGGGGTTAATAATGGGGTCGATTTGTTGTTTAGTGTTATGAAGAATAGGTAGTATTGGTGAATTTATGTTTGTGTTATGGTATTTTAATAGTTGGTCGATGGATATATATAATGTTGATAGGAGTGTGTGGGAGAAAGGAGAAAGGGTGGGCAATTGTTATAAGTGAGCAGGTTTGTTGTCTACCTGTCTTTGACTCAGGCTAATATTGCCAAGTGCCTACCCACCTTACCCAAAAGGTAAGTAAAGTAAAGCACTTATTCCTATAATTTGCTCTGCACCTTCCTATGTTCTAACACGTAACCCAGGGCCCAGATATAAAAGACAGGTAGGAGCATGTGTGTTCTTGCAGAAGTAGTAGGTTTAGTCACAGGCAGGTAAAGAGCAACCATGTCAGCAATTATGTTTGCATAAAATGCACGTAGTACCCGCATATACACGTTGGTTATGACAGGACTGATAGTTGTCATATATGGTTACATGGTATATGGCAACACATACTAAATTTGCTGTCCACGTTTATACTTCCAATAATATTACAATTGTAAAATTGTCATTAAACACCATCATCTCCATACTCCTATCGACCTACCCAACGCCCCCTTTTCCTCCTCTCCTAAAACAACCACCCCTAAAACCCCCCCGTACCCTGCACCCTCTTAACCGCACCCACAACCCCCCTAGCCCAAGCCAACCTCCCCGCATCCACTCCCATCGTCCCCTCCGCCTCCCTCCCATCCCCATCCCTCCAAATCCCATCCTCCCTACTAACTTGCCCATACAAATGCGTATTCTGATTCCTCCTCAGTCCCGCAATCCAGTTGCGACAAATCAGTCCGCTATCGATCAGTAAATTAACCTCCTGGCTGTGAAACCAGCTCTGCGTATCCTGATTGCCGTTCCCGACGATGCCGATGTGCTCATCCGCAATGAGAAGTTTGACGTGGCAGGACCGTCGCTTTTTGCTTGCTACGATGGGGGAAGTCTGGTCTTTGGCAGTGTACCAGTACCAGTGCAGATGTTGCTTTGCGCT